TATGGTTATTAGGGTGTCTACAATTTGCTTCAAAGCACTTCAGCATGCACAAGGTAGTCCTATGGCATGTATGTGTTACATCCTGTCATATGCTAAGGACAGCCAGTGAGCCTCACAGTCCAGTGGATGGCATGACTATTCTAATCAGCAATCTCACTCTAGAAATTACAGTTATCTTTACCCTTGAAAGGAAATTAGCACAAGGCATGCTAAAACTGAATTTTCACTGGTGAAATTGGTGGCTGATTAACTACCATAATGCATGTTAGAAATAGACTCTTGTTAATGCAATGAATGGGACTTAAGATACAGGGATCAGCTCAAAATGCCGGAGATTTTCCCATCCTTGCGTGACTATGGAAGCTATACATCTCAATTACGACCATTCAGGACCAGCTAGTCCTACAGCAGACCTCTGGTCCAGAAGACACTGGCTGCTTCACACCGCCTCCTTCTAACTGCTCTCCTTATTATGAAACCGTGGTGCTCAAACAAACTGAGGATCTGTGTGCATATTCTGACTCTAGTTTACATACAGAGAATGCATTTTGGCTCCCCAAACCCACTGCCTCCTCTCGTTGACACCACTCCCTTGAGAAAGGGCATCTTATACTACAAAGAACAGGATCCTGAGGAGCTTTGCTTCCGCCCCCACAAAGTTACCACCAGCTCCTCCACCCCACCACCCCACTTCCAAAATAGCACAAGGCAAAAAGGCAAACCGAGATCACAACTTGGGGGCGAGCTGCTCCCACATGGCTTCTTTTGAGGCCAGAATTCACTTTTCACTTCTCCACAGAGGCTTTGGAAGATAATATGGGTGATAACAATCTTGCCATGCAGTGTTCTTTTTTTAGCCAGTTCGTCTCTGTGGTTAGGGACGACTACAAATGCCGAGGAATGCAGAGTTCTCATTATCCGATCGCACAGACGTGCTCTTTCTTTAAGTTTGTGAAATACATTTTTCAATGTGTGATAAAATAATTTGTTATCTCAACCACTCTTGTAGAAGGCCCCGTTATTAGTGCCATCCTTATTCTCATCACGCTGATCAGAAGGCTGAAGCAGACGTGGAATTCAAGAGTGTGTGAAATATTTGTTACAGAGACAACTGTAGGCAAGTCAGACCATTTGAACATGACTTTAAAGGTCTGGTTTGGGCATGCTATATCTAAAAAATCTGAACATGACAGTTTAGGATGTGAGCTTGTTACTCTGGTTTTTTTAAAAATCCAGTTTTACAATGGATGATAATTCCCTACTGTCAAAAAAGTTTTGGTCTAATACATGTGATCCAAAATAACATTTGAAAAACCCTGGCTAGGCTGAGTATGGTACTGAACACCTTTGATCCCAGCACTCAGGAAGCAGAGGGCGGTGGATCTCTGTAAGTTCAAGGCCAACCTGGTCTACACAGTGAATTCCAAGACAGCCGGGGTTATTTAGGAAAGAAAGAAAAGGCCTGGCTATATCTGGTTGCATGATTTTTTCAAACTCACTCTATTGGTTATTTATTGCTGTGTAACAAATTACCCCAACTTTGCAGATTAAAACAACATGTACCTAGTATCTCTCTGATTCTGTGTACCAATGGGCTGTGCTCACATTCCATTACACATCTATGTGATGCCTCTCAAATTGAGACACATGCCATATGTTCTCTAGTGCTCAAGGGCTGAGAACTTAGTGTATATGGACTCTCTCTTCAACACAGGCTGGAAAAAGATACCCAGTAACGGAAAAAATATAGCTGCTATGCATAAAGTTGTATGAGAAAAAAAAAACATATTTTTAAAGTCTAGTAGTTAGACAAAGAGGAAGCAATAACGGTCATCCAAACAGGAAAGGAAGGAAAGAAATGTGTGTTTGTCGATGACATGATCTTACCGTATAAAGACCCTTAAAAGATCCACCCCCAAAAAAGATGTTAGAATTAATAAATTCAATGAGGTTTTAAGATACAAAGTTAATACACAAAATGATAGTATTTCTTTATATGGGCAACTAACTAAAACACTTTGAAGAGAACCATTTACAGCAAATACAAAGAAGAAAGTCACTCACAAATAAATTTAACCAAAAAGTTCAAAGATTGTGTGTGTGTCTGTCTGTCTGTCTGTCTGCCTGCCTGCCTGTGTGTCTGTGTGATGTGTGTCTGTCTGTGTCTGTGCATCTGTGTGTGTTTCTATATGTGTGTGTGTGTGTGTCTGTCTGAATGTGTATGTTTGTGTCTGTATATGTCTGTGCATCTCTGTGTGTGTCTATGTCTGTGCATGTGTGTCTGTGCTGGGATTTTTGCGCAAGTGTGTGTGCAGATATATGTCCGTGTGGAGTAAGAAATGAACCCCCAGTGTTGGTCCTCAGGAGCTGTCCACCTTGTTTTTTGAGACGAAGTCTCCCACTGGCCTGGAGCTTACTGGGAAACTAGGATGGCTGGTCAGCAAGTCCCAAAGATCTACCTTTTTCTACCTCCTCAGCACCAAGGAGTAAAACCTAGCTTTTTTATGAGTTCCAGGGGTTGAAGTCAGGTCCTCATGCTTTTGTGATAAGCCCTTTATTGACTGAGCAACTGATATCTGCCCCTAAAACTATAAAAATGATCATCTCCTATTCTTCTGCTGTTCCATGTTCTTCCATCATAACCCGGCTCCCTCTTCTTACATTCTTTCATCCTCGCTGTATTCACATCCCCTTGTTTTGATTATCCTAGACATATAACACTGCCCTCAACACACACATGGTTCAAGTGCAGAGATTGTAGATGGGACTGTAAGAGTCAGAGACCAAGGGCACACTCTGGGGTCAGACGAGCTTTGGATCACATTCCAGTTCTCCCACTTTCTAATTTAGTAACCTTCAGAAAACTGTCCCATCGACTGGCACCTCGGTTTCCCTTTCCCTGTGCAAATGAAAGAGAACAGAAAATCCCAACTCACTGAGTTGCTCAGAGAGGCGGACACGCAATTCATGTGAGGCGAGGCCTAGAACTTGTCATCTGCAACTCTCATCCTCACGAGCTGCCTTGTTAATACCCTCCTCGGACTCAGAGTGTTGAGCGTGAGCAGGAAGGCAGGCTTTATCCACTCCCAGCATCAGCAGATGTTTAATCACTGTCCGCCATGCTTCCCATCCTCAGCAACATACCCCAAACTAAAGCTGCACAAGGCACAGTCTCCATCCTGTGAATGATGTCTCGTATCTATGTGTCTCCAGCACTCTACCCAATATGCCCAGCACACGGCTCATCAAAAGATGCTTGTGGGGTTGAATAAAGTTTAAAATGTAGTTATGAGCACGATTCATGTTCACATGGCTGGCAGGGAGGTGATGATAAGTAGAAAGTATGACAGAGAAGCTTGTGATTGTGATGCTTTTAACTCTTAAAAGCAAAGAGAACATGATTTATATGTGACCTGATTGTTTCAACTTAAAGACTCTCACAGTTTTCACTCATATCTCCAGGAATGCGTAAAAATACCTCTTTGGTGGATGAACAACCTTGGGCAGAGGAAGTGCTGCCAGGTCACAAAAGTGATGGGCTGGTACACAGCAGCCCGCTTAGGTACAACCTGTACCACTGCCTGGGCATGCCTGAGGCTTGGCACCCAAGGGAAATCAGCAACGCTGATAACCACTGCATCTAATCCAAGGAGAGAGCGGCTTCTGATGGGTATGTGAAAGCCAGCATGTGTCCAAAAGAGCCCCAATTGCAAACTGCACTGGAATAGTGAAGGAAAAGGAAAAAAACGCAATTGAACAAGCCCCTGGAGACCCAGAAACACAAGTGACCTCACCTCCAGCCCGACACAAACAGCCTGGCTTTAATTTACAAACATAGATAGAAAGTTTGAGTGTCTACTTTTGCTTTTACTAGTGGAAAAAAAAAATAGCTATCAGATCCCCCTTTGACACCATTAAACAGCCTCAAGGATAAAGTCCGAAAATGAAAATACAGTCACCTAACACACACACACACACACACACACACACACACACACACACACACACACACACACAGACACCAGCAAGAGCACTTGGACAGAAGCCAGTTATGAAGACTCGGCTGTGAGGTTTACCAGGAAGGCAGGCTGGCCCTAGAAAACAGCCTCGCGTGGGTAAGAGGTGAGAGACACTTAAGCATGGCTGCCTTCTAAAACCAAAAAGCTAATTAAACTTAGCCTCATCAGAAAGCCAAGTTAGAAAAGCCAGTGGGGAAAAACATATTCTCTTACTTCCGAGCATAATCAAGAAGAATGAAGGGCTCACCAGGTTAAAGCATTAGAGTCACCTGGTTTTGTTGGCTTTGTTCCCGTGAATATTCCTAAGAGGCCAACGATGCACCGCTCTGCATTCTACTTCCTGCCTATTCACTTCAGCGCACACATGTGAGGCGCTACCCAGAATATCACAGGTTAGGGAGCAATCAGGGTCAAGACTGAGAAAGCTGGGGCTGAAGACGTGGCTCCGTGAATAACAGTACTCGCTGTGCAAGCATGCGAACCTGAGTTCAGATACCAGCATCCTCATAAAAAGCTGGCCATACGTGTACACACACACACACACACACACACACACACACACACACACACACACGCATGCATGCCTATGACCTAAGCTTGGTAGGGAGTTGGTAGGGAGGAGGAAGACTGGAGGATGGCTGGGTCTTGCTGACCAGCAATCTAGTTCAGGTTCAGTGAGAGACAGAGTAAGACACCTAACATCCTCTTCTGGCCTGCACAGCATGTGGTGGGGGGAGGGGGAAAGTGGGATGAAAAGGAGAAGGAGAGACAGGGATCTGTGTGTGTGTGTGTGTGTGTGTGTGTGTGTGTGTGTGTGTGTGTGTGTGTCCCTCTTCTCTTTCCCATTAGGGTACAGAGTACAGAGTGTACTGTGAGAACGTTGTAGAAACAAAAATGCTTTGGGAATATTTTCCCCCAAAGCCCTTTCTCTGAGAAGTGACCGCATCCCCGATCCCCACGGTCACGGCAGAGAAGAAGGTCATGTTTGCACAGCTGTCATTCAATGCCCTGGTCCTGTTTGATCTGTTTGCAAACAAGGGCCCCTTCGTCCAGAGACATAAGAAAAAGAAGAAAGACACGGCCATTCTGCTGGTAGAAAGAAGAGAGATGCAGTCAGTCTCTTCATTGGCTAGAACTCTATTCAATCCGTACACCAAGACAGTGGAGACCCACATTCCACTAAACAGAGAGAACCAGACTGACTGAAGAAGAGGACCAAGAAGCACACACATCTCTACAGACCAGGAGGGCGGAACTGGAGAAGGAACCTACAAGGGTCCTCAGCAGCTCCACCTCAGTGGAACTCTTCCTGAAGCCAGCAGCCAGCCTCAGCACCCTTGCACCATTCCAGTGACCAACCTCGAGTGTGTTCTGTCACTTGCAACCAACAGATACAAGAAGCGTAGGACACAACGCAAGTCTGTCCTAGCACAGCCATTCATGTGAAGGTCACTGGGCTGAGAAGGTCAGGGCTTTACCGCCTCTACCTGGAGCCTCGAAGAAGAGTGAACACTTGCCAATGAAAGATGGGAATGTGAGCCTACTTGCCAATGAAAGATGAGATGTGAGTCTAGAGCCTACATTTCACTATTTCTATGACCGAATAAATACATTTAGCGCCTGGTCTTAGTCAGGATTCCTAGTGCCGTGAAGAACACCATGACCACAGCAACTATTATAAAGGAAAACATTTAAATGCAGCTGGCTTACAGTTTCAGAGATTTAGTCCATTATTGTTATGGTAGGAAGCAAGGCTACCATACAGGTAGACATGGTGCAAGAGAAGGACCTGAGAGTTCCACACCTACAGGCAACAGGAAATGAACTGAGTCCCACACTGGGCATAGCTTGAGCATATGAGACCTCAAAGCCCACCCCCACAATGACACACTTCCTCCAACAAGGCCACACCTACTCCAACAAGGCCACACTTCTAATTACGTCACTCCCTATAAACCGAGCATTCAAACATGAGTCTATGGGGGCCATACTATTCAAACCACCACACCCACATTTCACACGGCACCTAGCACAAGGCAGGTACTCTCCTGTAAGAAGAAAGAAGATAGGGGAGACGACAGGAGTATACTGGGTGTACTTATTGAATCATCTTTCACCAATAAAATGGGAATGCAGACCACTTCATGTATCTTACAGGATCAAGATATGATTAACAACTATTAAAAGGTTCAGATTGATGACAGATAAAATACAAAACCACTTGGGTGAATGAACAACATGTATTTATCTAAAGTGAAGTAAGCGATAATTTCCATGATGAATACAGTCTGCTATCTGTTTTCATAGGGACCACCGGATAAAATTTTATTTTATTTTACAAATGACTATGTGTAGCCAATTTAATAATAAGAAACCTCAACTCAACTTTTAAATATTATCTCTCCCAAAAGGGATTCCATCCTTTTGATGAATAGACTTGTGTGCAAAACAATTATACTTAATTATTATTATTACGGCTTTCCTAATACAGGATTTAATAGATGAACAAGGAGTCAACTCAGTCAGAGACACAGTGATAAAATTAATTTTCCCACCAGGGGCATTACTTTGAGACTGCAGTTTTGCAGATAAGAGGGTGGTGGTGGTATTTTTCTTTTCTTTTCTTTCTTTTTTTTTTTTTTTTAAAAAAATGCACATATTGTGGTCTAGCAGGAAACAAGCACAATAATTTCTCAGTGAGTAAAAGTGACATCACATCTTCTAGGAGTTCCACTACTCCCTTCCAGCCTAGGCTAAACCAGTCTGGATCCATGAGAGAAACCCCCTCAACTAAGCCAAGAACACATCATTAATCTCAACAACCTAGTGCCGCGCTCCTTAGAACATACTCAGACTGGTTTAGCCTGGTTAAACTTTGGATTTAAATAACAATTATTAAGAGAAATTTTGTGGATATATTTATTCATTAACTCCCTTTTTTTTAATACTACCTCATGATACTCTTTTACTCTGTCCTATTCAATACCCAACTGATTCCTCCATGTTTTCTTAAAATTAATGTTAGTTCAAAGTGCAAGCAAGCTTACCTTCTGGGCTCCATGTCTTAAGAAGGTACTAGCAAAAGTTTCCAAAATGCAGTTGAGAAATCCAGCCCCTGTGATCGAAATTCTGCCTCTTTGAATAAACTCTGTCCTGAAAAAAGAAAAAAGAAAAAAAAATCTATATACACACACATAAAATTCATCTCCATGGCTATCTGCATAAAATAACATAAAGCAAGCCATGAGGGCAGGAGGGACACTCGATGGGAAGAAGATCCTGGTAGGCGGGGAGAGGGAAAAGGAAAGGTAATGGGGCATCAACGTGATCACAATCCATCTTTTACCTGCAACTGTCAAAAACACTCATCTTTCATGAGACTTTGCATTCTGATATATAAATTATAGACACTTTCAGCAGCATAATTACCATCTAAAATTAACATGAAATGATATCCATAATAATTGAATAATTATTGTTAAAACAAAAGATTCTATTTAAGATTGACCTAACTATGTAGAGTTTATACAGTACAAACAACAATCGTTTGAATTAAAAAATATTCATTTCACGATGTAAAAATGCCTCTTCAAGAAGCAACCACAACCATTTTGCTAGAGTGATATAGTTTCTAATTGCCTTCCAAATACTTACTTCTCATGCCCATAGATTAATGCAGCTCTTATCCCTTACCAAAGAAGCTTTTGCAGCAGATGGAGGCTATCCTAAAGAACCACAGCTGGCTGGGGGGTAGGGAACCAGTGACTGGGGAGTGTCCATCTGTACACAGACCATCTATAATACAAGCCCTGTCCCAAAGCTCGGGAAACAACCGAGAAGAGAGGCAGAAAGATTGCCCGGGCCAGAGGTCAGGGAGGACTGCTGTCCTCTGGACATGGTGAAGATGTTGCGCCCAGGAACCCTCAAGAGCTATGGCTGCCTACACAAAACCTGCACCAGATCACACCAGTCTACATTCCTGCGTGGGTGGGGGAAGGGTTCATGAGTTGACAAGCTAGTGATGACCCACAATGTCTGATCTGAGAGTCAGTTTTCCTCACCGACAATCCCCCTGATAGGTTGTCCATGCCTAAGTGGTCAGCCATGCACCCATGTACATATGGGCAAACTAACTAGACTCAGTAGGGTGTGTGTATATGTGTATATATACACCTATATAATTACAGATGAGAAGACGAAGTTGAAAGGGAAGGAGGGGCATAAAAGGAGCTGGGAGAAATGTAGATAAAATTAAAATGCATTGTACTCCCGTATAAAATTTAAAAATTAAAACAATTAAAAAAGAAATTAGCACTCTTTGGAGGAGGAGTGCTGCTTTCCTCATGGCAAAGTCTCACTAGGTAGCCTTGGCTGTCCTGGAACTCTATAGACCAGGTGGCCTTGAACTCAAAGAGATCCTCCTGACTCTACCTCCCAAAGGGAGGGACTAAAGCTATGCACCACCACGCCCAGTTGGAAACTCTTAATTTGCAATTGAGAGGACTACAGTTCAGTTAACATCTAAATACATTTATTTCATGGCAATCCGGACCAAGAGCCCCTCTCATTATATGCCTAACATGAACTTGCTCCATGACAATAAATGCAGTCAGTTCCTCTGCTTAAAAGCAAAATGCCTCTTAAAAAATGGGATCTGAGACCAGTTTCGGCTTCCTGACCTTAAATAAATTGTTGACTTTCTATAACCAATTTCCTCCCATGTAAATGGGACTGTAATATCACCCATTTACAATATCGTTATAAAGGAGTTTACATGTATAACAGGGATATGTAGAATGGCATGTGCTAAGCATTTGCTAGAAATTCTAGCAACGGTTGCTACAGAGAGGCAGGCAGGCAAACGAGGAGACCGCAAAGCCAGAAGTCTGGAATAGGTACTGAGCCCCTGACAGGGGCCAGGAGGGACAGGGAGCAGATGGGTTACCATTTCTATCATTTTAATTATCAAAACTCTACCAATATTAATTATCCCCATCTCATAAAACAGAGATTTGGGTTACACTTGAGAATGATATAAGATGGCTGAACAGGAAGCCTCCAGCTCTCACCCCACCCCCCAAAAAGACAATGACTGAACAAAAATTTACAAACAAAATTGCCTTTGTGAGACCTCCTGAAACCAATTAAGAGATGGAAGAGTATACCCAAGCGACGACAGAGCCAAGAATAGTCACGTCAAAGCCAGTGAAGCGCGCCGCTTTTCCTCACTGTAGGAAGAACTGTCTGTTGCTGCGGCAGAATTACTAACATGAGCAGCTGAAGGAAGGAGAGGTTATTATCGCTGGTGTTTGTCGTGAGACTGAGTGTCATATAACCCAGGCTGGCCTCAAACACTGTGTGGCAGGAACTGGCCTTGAAATTCTGATCTTCCATCTCCAGCTCCCAACAGCTGAAGCACAGGCATGCACCACTGTGCCCCACTGGAAGAGAGGTGTGTTTCCGGTCCTGGTTCATGGGATAATCTGTCTTGCTGGGAAACGTCTGGCTGTGTGCCATTGGGCCATTGGGAGGCTACTTGCTCACAAGAAAGGAAAATCCAGGCACTCAGCTAGCTTTCTTCTTTTTCCCTTTTTTCTCCAGTCCAGGACCTCAGCCCAGGGGATAGTGCCACCCACACTCAGTACAGATTTTCCCCAGATTAGCTCAATCAGTCTGGAAAAGCTCTTACAGATACCTTTAAACCTGTCCCTCACTACTGCCCCAAGTGGTCCTTAATCCATCTGAATTAGCCATCACACTCCAGATAGCTCCCTCCCAACTAGTACAGTGGGGCAGAATGGGTCGAAAACTACAAAGGCTTGCTTCTCCCACAGAAGAGAAAAAGGAGATAAATGTGCATCGATGTTGTGGCTCTAGCAGGCCTTCCTGAGGACGTACTCTGGGGAACGGAAACAGTATACTTGGATGCTTGCTGGTCGCTGAGAACTAAAGCCAGCACAGCATGCTGGTACAGCCCTTAAGGGTCTGTGGAACCACCAGCAAAAACGAGAGGTTATAGGCTGGGCTCTATGACAGGGCAGCCTTCTGCATCTGGGAAATCATATATACAGTCCCAGAGACGATCAGAAGAAGTTTGAGAGGCCGCCACACTCCCAGCTGAGCTGTGTAAGCCAGCCCATGACAAATGGGAGAGGTGGTCATTGTTTCATTGAGCCTAATCTCTCTGAAAGATCACAGGACAGATGGACAGACAGACACACAGACACACATACACACGGCAGGGCAGTGGGGGAAATGGCCCAGTCATAGAACTAAATAAATGTCTAGAAACTCACCCTAAAGAAACAGGTATATGAATTACCTGACAATTAATTTGAAATAATTATTTTTTTAAAATGTCCAACTAGCCATTCAAACAACTACATAAACTCAGGGAACTGAAACATGAACAGGATGAGACTATCAACCAAGACAAACCGCTTTAAAAGCAGAAAGCAATGGCACCAAGGAACTTGAGGACAGGCTGTTCCAAAGAGGAAAATGAATGGAGAGACATGGTGAGAGCTTCGGAGGCCTACGGACGCTGTCAGGTGGGCCCACTCACACACTGTGGAGTCGTAAAGGAGAAATCAATGCCAATGGAGAATTGGAGAGATTATATAAAGCAATAACGGCCCAAACTTCCCAAATTTAAAAGAAAAGGAAATGTGCATACAAATTCAAAGTCTCAACAAACTCCAAGCAGGAGACGTCGAAGGAGATCTACACCAGACACATCATACAGTGTCAAAAGTCACAGGGGGAATATCGAAAGCACCAAGAATAAAGTAACCTGCCGCATACAAGGAGCTTCCGGGAGGTCGGCAGTGGATTTTTTTTTTTTTTTTTTAATCAGAAACTTTGCAGGCCAGGGGGAATTGGGTTGATATATTCAGCACGCCAAAAAGAAAAACTATAAACCAAGAACTCAACAAAACTACCTTCCAGATATGAAAAGGAAATTAAGATTTCCAGCTATACAAAAGCTGAACATATGCATCTCCACTAGAGACTTGGGCTGTAGTTAACCTGTCCTGGTTTGTTTGTTGAAACCGCTGAATGCATGGTTACTATATGCCATATATTACATATCATATACAATCACAAATATATATAACATATATTTACATGTATATTTGTAATTACATATGACTCTATATTACATATCATATATAAAATCACAAAAATATGTAAGTATAATATATATATATTTGTGACTTTATAATGATATGTAATATATAGCATATGAGATATCTATATATAGATACATACCTATGGCAGAGCTAGTGAAATGACCCAGTGTATAAGAGTGTTTCCTGGCAAGCATGAGGATCAGAGTTCAAATTCCCGGCACCCACATTAAAAAAGGCTAGGTGTAACCATGCACACCTGTCTGTAACCCCAGGGCTATGGCAAGTGGAGGCGGGAGGATCAAGGGGACCTGATGGTGGCCAGCCTAGTTCCTGGCTCGGAGAGAGACCCTGCCTCAAGGAAACGGGGCAGAGAGTGATTGAGTAAGACACCCAGCGTCTTCCTCTGACTTCCACACACTCACATGCCCATACCCTCACACACACAAATGTACATGTTCACATCACACACGTTTACCTTACGTGTACATACTACCCAAACCAAAAAAAATGTCAGCCTTAATTTCGGTTTTATAAAAAACAAAACACTCCTTTTTAAAACATCGGTGCTACGAAGAAACATTTTCAATTAAGGCACCTGCAAACTTTGGGCTCACCCTTCACTTCAAACCTCTTAAGGCACCACTTCGTTTTCCTTTCCCCACACCATACTGAAAATGAGAGGCTCTTCCGGGACCTCACTGTGTAACAGGAAATGCAAAGGAACAAGTAGGTGAGTGTCGGCATCAGCTGACCACAAAGCATTTCAACAGAGAAAACCCATAAGGCCCCAGGCACAAAGTAGCAGACAGTCTCTGAGGAGCCACACTGCCCTGGTTTGCTTGCTATTGCTGTGATAAACACCGTTACCAAAAAGCAGCTTGCGGAGGAGAGGGTGTATCTGGCTTAATCTTCCAGCTCACAGTCCGTCACTGAGGAAAGCCAAGGCAGGAACTCATTGCGGGCATATGGAGGCAAGAACTGAAGCAGGGACCACCGAGGGATGCTGCAACCTGGCTTGCT